CCACCCGGCCCGTCGGCCCCGCCCCTCCACCCGGCCCCGCCCCCGTGCCTGGCCCCGCCCCTACCGCCCGGGATGGGCCGCCGCAGGTGGTCGGCCAGGCTGCACCTCTTTGGCGCGCCGCCGCGGGGAGCGGATCTGCCCTGCGGGAGAGCGTGGCGCGGAGGCAGCGTTCACAGAGCTGGGTTCAGGGTCTGAGGGTCGCTGCCCCCCACCTCCGGAAGTGGCCAATTCCTCCGGGAGCGGCCCGCCCGCCCCGATACGGGAACCCCAGTCCTGACGGCCGCCGGCCCCGCCCGACTCCTCGCCGGCCCGCCCCGCCCCGTCCCAGCCCCGCGGCCCCACGCCCGGCCCCCCAGGCTGAAAGTTCAGGGAGGACTTGGGAGGTAACGACGGGGTGGAGTCTATTTGAATAAAAACATCCTTTGCGCGCTTTCGTTGGCGCTTCGGATTTAGCCAGTCCCTCCCTCTAGCGAACGCCCCTTCCAAGGACCGGGCCCGGCTGTTCTGCTGCGGGAGACCTGGAGGACCCTCGAGCGCCTCCAGTACACGTGCTTCGTAAGGACCGCCTCCGTGGTCGGCCTTGCACTGTGACCCCTCGCAAGACTGGGGTTAAACGGTGAAGGCAATTTGTGCAGTGAGGCAGTTCTGTGCAGCCGCGTACAAGTTTGTTAAAATCCTTCGAGTGAGCTAATCCTCTTTTAAAGTGTGAATTTCCCCTTCAGACCACCTAAAGGAACCCGTCTTTTGCACTTTGGTGTTCGCCGATTGATTTAAATCTTAGTAATTTCTTGGCCGAGATCTTGACCGAATGGGGATTGCTTTGAAGCTTCCGCCTGCACTATGGTAGGTGCAGGTTTCAGCAGATATTTCATTAACAAGGAAAGACACGCGTTCAAAGACAGGAGGCTTTCACTTTTTACACTGACACTTATACTTTCTCTGGTGACTTCCTGTTCTCAGCACAACTCTGAGAGGCAGTTGGCGCTGTTTTATGGCAGCTTTACATCTAGACAGCAGCTGAGGCAGGAGGAAGGTGAGCTCCCGTGCTAGGTGCACTCTGTTTTGCTTTCTGCTGCTGCACAGGTCTTCATGCGGCTTTTACTGTAGCTCTTCTGGGCTCTCTAGCTGGTGTGCGGTCAGCTGGACCAGAGATGATGAGAGGGAGACATTTTACTCTCAGGCTGAAAGGAGGCTTGCAAACCTGCCTGCCTTTGTGCAGGCTTTCGAGTCCCCCTTACACAATTCTCTGCAACCCCAGGTGATTCACAACTCTAGAATAGCAGCTCATTTCTTTCTTTTTCTTTTCTTTTTTTTTTTTTCGGGGGGGGGGGGAGCGTGGAACCGGGGATTGAACTCAGGCCCTTGCGCTTCCCAGGGAAGCACTTATTCCACTGAGCCATCTCCCCGGCCCAGCAGCTCATTTCTTGAGGCCTGCGTGAATCGCTTCTTCCAAACACAGCTACTGAATGATTACCAGTCAGGAAGTCTGACTCTGTCCCTGTGTGTGTTGTGCAAATAACCTAATATAAGGGAAGGGGGTGATTCATTTATGAAAGAATTTCTTGCTTCACTTCTATTATTTCATTATTCAAATGTTAGCATGCTGCATTGATACGATCTTTATTAAATACTCCAATTTAAGAGTAACATACAGGTCAAAGAATCTGAGTAAATGTGTTTTACCATTTTTTGGTTGTTTTTTTTTTTTTTTTTTTTTAACCAGGAACTCTGCAGGTGCCAGGCAGGTGCTGGGCCACTGAGCTCTCTCCCTGGCCAAATGTGTTTTTTCTGTAGATTATAAAAGACAGAAAGGAGAAACAATCTCATCCAGAACAAATTAAAGTCTCTATGTACTTTGAAGCAAAAATAGTAAAAGGAAAAATATGTTTAAAGTATTTATGATCGACCACATCGTAAAAAATTTTAGGTTTTGGTTTTGGTTTTGAGACACGGTCTTGCTGTATGACCCAGGCTGGACTCTTGCCTCCCTCTCCAGGGTGCTGGAATTTCAGATGTCCATCACCATGCCCAACTCAAAATGATTTTTTCATCCAGGTTTGGTGGTGCATACCTGTAATGCCAGAACTATGGAGGCTAAGGCAAGAGGACTGCTGCAAGTTTGAGGCCAGCCTGGGCTACAAAGTAAGTTCAAGGCCAGCCTGAACTGCATCGTGAATCTTTGTCTCAAGAAGACCAAAAAAAAAAAAGTCTGTTTTCTAAAGGCATCATAATTATAGTCCACATTTTCTTGTAGCACTTTTTTTTTTTTTTTCTTTTGAGGCAGGGTCTGGCTATGTAATGCAGACTAGCCTTGAACTCTACATAGCCCAGGCTGACCTCAAACTCACAGTGGTCCTCGTGCCTCAGCTTCCTGAGTGCTGGGATTACAGGCATGTGCCATCATACATGGCTTTTTCTTGTAGCATTTTTTTAATTTTTATTTTATTTCATTTATTTTTTCCCATAATTTTATTGAGAAACAAATAGCAATGAGACAGTTTCAAACCAAATTGGTAGAACAGTTTCTTTTGTGTGTGTGTGTGTGTGTGTGTGTTTATAAATCATTTAATGATTCATGATGACTTATAAGTATGTGAACTGATTTAAAAATGAAGAAGATGAGAATGGGAAATAAGAGTAGTAAACAGAATGAAGTGGAAAGTAGAATAAAGTACACAGAATACATCAGTTACTTGGAACAGGGAACCCACAAGCTTGACTTTTAAGATTGCCAAACAGTTAACACAAGAGAAGGCCATCCTATTCATACATAAAGTTAAACTGATTGTTTGATTCAAAGCAACTGATAAGGATAGCCTGTCGAATATTCTCTTTTTTTTTCACAGCTGATTAATAGGACAGTTTTGATAATCAATACACTGTACATTGTTATCTTCTTAGTGGTTATCCATAGTACAAGCAGACAGGATATTCTACCCAAACACTGTTAGTACACTTCTTTCTTCTCATTGAATTAAGCAAAAGTAGCTGTAAATTTATCCTATTTTGTATATATAAAAATACAAAATGATCTTTCCTTTGTATCCCTTTTTTTTTGTCCTGTCAGAGGTGAATATTCTATTGGCGTCTAAATACTATAGGTGTTTGAATTCAACTAAACAATCTAACACTGTCTAGCAGTCTATAATA